GTAACCCCCCTCCAATATACCCCCAGTAACCCCCTCAATATCACCCCTCCCTCCCATTAACCCCCTCCAATATACCCCTCCCAGTAACCCCTCCAATATACCCCTCCCAGTAACCCCCTCAATATCACCCCCTCCCAGAACCCCCTCAATATAACGCTCTTCAAGTATACCCCATCCTTCCCAGTAGCACTCCTCTCTCCCAATATACCCCCTCCCTCCCAGCATCCCCCTCACTACACCCCACTCCCTCCCAGTAACCACCTTCCCTATCACCCCCTCCTAGTAAACCCCCTCCTTCACACTACCTCCCCCTCTCTCCCAGTATCCCCCCTCCCTTACACCATGACCGCCTCCCTCCCAATATCTCCCTTCACTATCCCCCTCCCAGTATACACCCTCACTCACACTATCACCCACCTCTCTCCCAGTATCCCCCCTCCCTCCCAATATTCCCCAGTCTTTCCCAGTATTTCCAAGTCCATACCAGTATTCCCCACTCACACTATCAACCCCCTCCCTCCCAGTATTCCCCATCACAGTATTACCTTATCCCTTTCAGTACTACCCTCTCCCTTACACTATCACCACCCTACCTCACACTATCACCCCACCCCCTCCCAGCATTCCCCCCTCACACTATCACCCCCTCCCTCCCAGTATTTCCCCACTTACAGTATTAACCCCTCCCTCACAGTATTACCCCCCCTCCCTCATAGTATCCTTCCTCCCACACAGTATTACCCCCTCGGCTACCACCTTCCCATCACCCTCACAGTATCAGTGGCGGATCCAGAGGGGGGACAATGGGGTAATTGCCCCCCCCCCCCGAGATTCCACCCTGCCGGCTAATGTAGGGCTGGCATTGTCCAAGTGCCAGCCCTGCAATGTGCCTTCGGACCGGGAAGAGATATCCCTCCCCAGTCCGCAGGCACTGTGCTGGCAGCCGGCAGGGGAGAGAGGGAGAGAGGACCCGGGAGCTCAGCCTCTCTACCACGGCAACGCTCCAAATCTCGCGAGAGTGAACTCTAGCCCTGGAGTGCGGGCTAGAGTTCACCTCACCACCACTGGGACCACCAGGGAATCCCCACCGGGGATTTTTTACAATTATTACAATTATTATTAAAAAGCCTCCCTAACCTCCCCCCCATACAAATACTGCCCCCATACACACACTACCCATACACACACTACACATACTGCCCCCATACACACACTACACACACTGCCCCACAAACACTGCCCCCATACACACACTACACACACTGCCCCCATACACACACTCCACACACTGCCCCACAAACACTGCCCCATACACACACTACACACACTGCCCCACAAACATTGCCCCCATACACACTGCCCCACAAACACTGCCCCCATACACACACTGCCCCACAAACACTGCCACCATTACACACTGCCCCACAAACATTGCCCCCATACACACACTACACACACTGCCCCACAAACACTGCCCCCATACACACACTACACACACTGCCCCCATACACACACTGCCCAACAAACACTGCCCCCATACACACACTGCCCACAAACACTGCCCCCATACACACACTAAACACACTGCCCTGCATCCCATATACACACTGCCCCCATACACACACTGCCCAACAAACACTGCCCCCCATACACACATTGCCACACATACACACATTGCCCACACACACATACAGTGCCCCCCCATACACACACCTCCAAACACACATACAGTTCCCCCCATACACACTCTGCAACTCTCACACACACACTGCACCGCTCACACACTGCCCCACACATACACTGCCCCTTAACACACACTGGAACCCTGACATAAACTGCCGCCTAACGCACTCGCACACACATTTCACCGCTCACACACACACACACACACTGCACCTTTCACCCCTAACACATACCACTGCTCCTATACCCTATATCCCAGCAGACCCCAGGTAAGTTGTCAAACTGTTCTTAAACGGTTTGACTACTTACTCTGAGATGGGATCCTGGCACTACTAGCACCATAACTACTACACTGACCTGTAGTGGTTATTGTGCCTGGATTATTTCTTTAAATTATCTACAAGTGCCCCTCCCGAGATCAGGCTCTGGATCTGCCCCTGCACAGTATTCCCCCCTCCTACACACCATCACCCACCTCCCTCACAGTATATCGCCTCCCTCTCAGTATTACCCCCTCCCACACACTATCGCCCCTATATCCCACACACTATCACCCCCTCCCTCACCAGATCACCCCTTCCACACACACACAAACTGTCACCACCTCACACACACAGTATCATCCCCTTCACACACAGTCACTCTCCCTTATACATACTGTCACCCCTACAATGTTGTGTCACCATACTCATACACTGTCACATTCCCACACATTGTCACCCGACACCACACTGTCACCCCCTCCACACTTTCAGCCCTTTCATGCATCCACACTCTCACTAACCACTCCTAGTCCTGTTAATCTCACCCCCTCCAAACTCACCTGCCCTCTCTTTGCCACACTCATTAACCCCCTTAATCCTGGCACACTCCTTCCTCAAACCTTGCCACATTCACCCTTCACTCCAAAACTGTAATACTCACCCCACCCCAACTATGCCACACTTACCGTCACTTAAATCTTAAATTTTCATTTTTGTTTTAGAGAACCCCTTCACACCAGTACTTATTTATACACGACTGCCGGGCTATGTGACCATACCCCACAATTGTGTATAAACGATTGGCATAATTGCAAATTAAATTTATTTATTGCAAATTAATTTTGTTTGCAAAATATGCTACAACTATAGCCAGAGAGCTCACAATGCAGGGGCACAGGAAGCTCTGACATTGCAAGCTTCTGAACAATGAATGCAGAGACTGACTCTCTGTATCCAGTGCTGCAAGCACGCCTTTCGATATAGCAAATGCTCCTTACACTTATACAAAATACAACCCTATTATTTTATACTTTGGGTGTAAGTGGGGCCTCATGCTTGAAGTTCGCCTAAGGCCTCATAAAGTCTAGAGCCGCCTCTGTCCGGCATTGCCGCTGGGAGCAACCCCGGTGAAAGTAGGCGAGATGCTACCGTGGCTAAAGCGGTACGCTAACCGCGAGGTTGCGGAGTTTCTGTGGAAATGTTTTAAGGAGGGGTTCACCATTCCATTTAAGGGGAAGGATCCGGGGAAGTTGTGTGCGAACCTCAAATCCGTGCGGGAACATCCGGGGGTAGTTCGGATGAAGTGCAGTTGGGAAGGCCATATGTAGCCCCACCGCTGCCGGACTTGAGGGTGTCCCCTCTCGGGGTGGTTCCCAAGAGGGAACCAGGCAAATTCCGTTTGATACATCATTTGTCTTACCCGAAAGGGGCATCAGTCAATGACGACATTGACGCGGCCCTGAGCTCTGTTTCGTATGCATCATTCGACCAGGCGGTTTAGTTGGTTCGCAAAGCAGGGCCGGGGGCACTAATGGCAAAGGTTGATGTGGAAGCGGCTTTTCGACTGCTCCCCATTCACCCGGAATGTCACCACTTGTTGGGGTGTTTCTTCGAAGGTTTTTTTTTCGTGGATCTATGTTTGCCCATGGGCTGTTCGATTTCTTGTTCATATTTTGAAAAGTTCAGCACATTTTTGGAGTGGGTGGTTCATCAGGAGTCGGTCGGGGGTGCGGTGGTGCACTACTTGGATGATTTCATGTGCGTGGGGCGGACTCAGACCACTGCAGCCAGATACTACGGGTTTTGCAGTGGGTGGCACAAGCATTTGGGATTCCATTAGCCGAGCTTCCTGGGGTTGGAAATCGACTCGGTGAAGGGGGAATGTCGGTTGCCTGCAGATAAATTGTTGGCACTCCGACAATGGGTAGGGAGAGTGAGGGGTTTAAAGAAGGTGACCTTGCAAGGGCTGCAGTCCCTGTTGGGGAGCCTGAACTTCGCATGTAAAGGGCATGTAAAGGGTTTTTTGTAGGCAACTAGCTCGGGCTACCTGCGGTGTAAGGTCACCGGGTCATTTCATTAGGGTATCAGCTGACATGAAGGCGGACTTGGATGTGTGGATACGTTTTTTACAAGAGTTTAATGGTAGGGTGTTTTTTAGGGACCTGGTGGCAACGTCGGAGGACATCGGTTTATTTACGGATGCTTCTGGGAGCGTGGGTTTTGGGGTGTATTTGATTTTTCACTCCGATAATATGGCAGTGGTCCAGGCGATTAATAGTAATTCCGCCTCGTCGCTACCCGTGATTCGGTTATTGAGACACCTAGTTCTTCTTTGTATGTCATGGAATATCGTTTTTAGGGCTAGGCATGTGCAGGGCTTGTTGAACGTTGTAGCTGACGCACTGTCTCGTTCACAGTGGGAGCGTTTTCGGGAGGCAGCAACGAGCGCACAGGAAACAGGACAGGCGGCTTGGGGGCTTGGGGGCTTGATAAGGAGTTCATTGGCGCCAGGCACCTGGGCGGCATACACCAAAGTTTGGACCGACTGGGAGATGACGGTAGGGCAGACGGGAGTGGGTGACTCCGCGGCAGGTAGGTTGGACGCGCTATTATGGTGGTTGTGTCGGTTACTAGCGGGTGGGGCCTCTCCCTCTAAGGTGGAGCGTCATATGGCGGCTTTAGCTTTTTGGTTCAAACTTAATGGTTGGGAAGATCTTACCAAGACTTTTGTGGTGAAACAGGCCTTGCGAGGCTTCCGGAAGGGGAGGAAGACCGTGGACACAAGGAGGCCGGTGTCGTTTACCGTCCTGCAAGGGCTCGTGGGAGTGTTGAGTGATATGTGCACATTATCATTTGAAGTGGTTTTGTTTTCCATAGCGTTTGTTTGGGCCTTTTTCGGGGCGTTTCGTATCAGTGAGTTGGTCAGCAAAAACAAATCAGGAAAGAATGGGCTTCAGCTCGAGGACGTGATTTTGGCTAAGATATCTGCTTGGTTAGCCCTGCAAGTTCTATGCTTTAAGACGTTATAGTGGTAAATAAGGGAACCAGCTGCGGTTACAATTGGTGACCACGAAGGGACTTGTACTTGGAAGCTTTAAATATAAAATAAGAGGGTCGAGATTCAACTGAGACGCTCCAAGACGGACGTTTTTGGGAGAGGTAAGAAGATAGTCCTGTTCTTGTTGCCGGGGTCAGATGTCTGCCCAGTGGCGGGCGGGACCAAGTTCCTAAGCACACGCCCGGGTATAGCAGGATGTTTTTTAGTTCATAAGGATGGCTCGGCACTGTCGCGTTTTCAATTTATCCGGGTATTTCGGATGGGGCTACAAAAGCTGGGCGTCCAGCCCATGCAATTCGGTACGCATTCATTTCGCATAGGGGCTGCAACGGAGGCAGCTCATCTTGGATTGGGTGACGAACGGATTAAACAGATAGGTAGGTGGGAGTCCATCCGGTTTCGTTCATACGTAAGGCCAGACGGGTTGGTATAAAGGTGGGCCGCTGGTTGGCGGGGCAGGGGGGGTTATTGCCCTCCACAGTAACTGATTTCAGGTTTGGTCACTTGGTTGGTGGGTCACTCATACGTGTATTGGGCACAGAACTGTATAGAGAACTCTATATATAGTGTTTCTATGCAAACACACATTTTGGCTGAGGAGGGGGGCGGGTATAAAAAGCGAGTTGAGCTGTCAGACAGCTCAGCTCGCGAACGCGCATTCCGCGCACATGCGCGGTAGAGGCGCTGAGTGCATTCAATACCGCTCTATGAAGAACACGATTGGTGCAGCGCAAAGCCGCGCATGCGCACCAGATCGCGATGATTTTGATGAAAAAGGGGGCGCGGCATGGCTGGGAGCTCGGCGCTGGAACGGAGGTAAGTTTATATGATAAGAAAGCTTTGAAAATTATTTTTATTAACTGTAAGTTCATATAAAAGCAAGAAGGAAGGCTGGGGGACCTGTCTTTCTTGCTTTTATATGTAGACTATAGTGTCCCTTTAACCTATTAATGATATTTGCAAGCATTTAGTTTAATCTTATAAACTCTGCTATAATGGATTTTATATGTCTATATTTATATTTTTATATAATAAATACCAAAAAGACAAAACTTTATTGCTTCCAAGACAATCCTTATTTTATATTGTATTCTCAATTATTTATATATGTTAAATAGAGGATCTCTTACACTAACTACCGTGTTTCCCCGAAAATAAGACCTACCCCGAAAATAAACCCTAGCTGGATTATGGGGGTGGGCTGCAATATAAGCCCTACCCTGAAAATAAGACCTAGGCAGGGCCGGCAGCTGCCGGCCCTTTCATCTCCAGCAGCCTGGCTCTATAGTTTGCAGGGATGGGACTGGGCTTGGCCGCTGCAGGGGTGAGGAAGGTGAGAGTAGTAGGAGAGGGAGGAGGGAAGTATTACAGGGAGGGAGGGAGGAGGGAGAGGGATAATATTACACAGGAGGGTGGGGATAACAGCCTGTGAGGGAGGGGAAGTATTACAGGAGGAGGTGGGGATAATGGCTACTGGGAGGAGGGAGAGTAGCCACGAGGAGGGAGGGAGAAATAATATTACAGAGGATAATATTACAGGGAGGGAGGACAATATTACTGGGAGGAGGGAGGAAGTAGCCACAAGGGAGGGAGGGAGAATGTGGCCACAGGAGGGAGGGGAATAATATTACTGGGAGGGAGGGAGAGTAGCCACAGGGAGGGAGGGAGGAATATTACAGGGAGGGAGGGAGGAGGATAGCCAGGGAGGGAGGATAATATTACAGGGAGGAGGATAATATTACAGGGAGGGAGGGATAATATTACAGGGAGGGAGGAGGGGATAATATTACTGGGAAGGAGGGGGAGAGTATTACAGGGAGGGAGGGGGGAGATAATATTACAGGGAGGGAGGGGAGAATATTACAGGGAAGGGGGGTAATATTACAGGGAGGGAGAGTATTACAGGGAGGGAGAGTATTACAGGGAGGGAGGGGAGAATATTACAGGGAGGGAGAGTATTACAGGTAGGGAGGGAGGGAGGGGAGAATATTACAGGGAGGGAGGGGATACAATTACAGGAAGGGAGAGGGGATAATATTACAGGGAGGGAGGGGGGAGAGTATTACAGGGAGGGAGGGAGGGGAGAATATTACAGGGAGGGGAAGGTGGAGGTTACACAGCGCGGACACCGGCAGACAGACTGGCTCTAAGCCCTACCCTGAAAATAAGCCCTAGTGTGTTTTTTGTGACTAAAATTAATATAAGACCCGGTCTTATTTTCGGAGAAACACGGTATATGAAATTTTGGCTAAGATATCTGCTTGGTTAGCCCTGCAAGTTCTATGCTTTAAGACGTTATAGTGGTAAATAAGGGAACCAGCTGCGGTTACAATTGGTGACCACGAAGGGACTTGTACTTGGAAGCTTTAAATATAAAATAATAAATACCTTGGTAACCTGTTATGCGTAAGAGAAGACACAATACTTTGTCATGGCACACGTCCTGAAATATCAAGAATCTATTGAGCTATTTGTAGCTCAGACTCAGAGAGAGATCTTCATCATTAGAGATGATTTTAATATGAACTTGTAAAAGGCACTTTGAGGTCAGGTGCCAAGTACATTGTAATTTGCATACAATGCTGAAATTGTGGATCTTAATATCATAAGAGAACAAATATCCATATATGGTAAACTCCCTAAAATGCCTAATACACCAGCTCAGCATGGTCCATTAGTTCCAGGACTGTGGATTGCAGGCAGGGGGGTATGTTCTCTTTGTAGCTGCTTAGTATGCATGCACAGGAAAAAGATTAATGCAATATGTTGTCAAAAGAAAAGTGATAAGACAGAGTGATGACTTGCTATTATATAACTAATAGATTTCGAAGTCTAATTCCAAGAATGCAAAGAACATTGCATTATGGCTTAATGAAAACATTCATGACACAGAAGCGACAGACAGTCAAATATGTAAGAAATGTTTTATAAAACAGTGATAATTTCCATACTGTCAGTTACACTAGCTGTTGATTAAAAAATCAGGAATTATAACAGTATAACTATTTTTGGAGTCTGGAGTTTCCAGCCAAGGTTGCGGAGATACAGAGACATGTAAACATTCCAAGGAATTGAGAAGTCGTTGTTTTATATTCCAAATTATGAACATTATTACATACAGCCATAAAGAGAAAGACATGGCTTTTAAATACATTCAGTGCAGTACATAGGCGTGCGCACGGGGTGTGCCGGGTGTGCCTGGGCACACCCTAATCCCCGTGGCACGCCTATGGTTTGAGTCCTGCAGGAACAGTGTTCCTGCACTTTTTTTGAGCAGGAACGCTGTTCCTGCAGGCACTCAGCGCCCCCGTCTCACCTCTTGCCCCTGTCATGGAGAGGGCAAGAGGTGATGGATTCCCCCCCCCCTCAGCGCGCGGCGAGGGAGCTCTCTGCTGTCTGCTGTCTGCTCCCTCTCGCCGCGCGCTGATGCCGGGAGCCGGAATATGACGTCATATTCCGGCTCCCAGCTCCAGCAGACAGCCCGCGCGGCGAGAGGGAGCAGAGAGCAGACAGCAGAGAGCTCCCTCGCCGCGGCTGAGCTGCAGAGAGGCGCCCGCCCCCACTGGACCCCAGGGAAAAGTCCACCAGCACTCCAGGTAGGAGGCTGGGTGGACATTTTTTTTTTAAATATAATAATTTGTGTGTGTGTATGTGTGTGTGTGTGTGTGTGAGTATGTGTGTGTGTGTGTATGTGTGTGTCAGTGTGTCTGTGTGTGTGTCTGTGAGTGTGTGAGTGTGTGTCTGAGTATGTGTGTGTGTCAGTGTGTGTGTGTCTGAGTGTGTGTCTGAGTGTGTGTCTGTGAGTGTGTCTGTGAGTATGTGTGTGTGTCAGTGTGTGTGTCTGTGAGTATGTGTGTCTGTGAGTATGTGTGTGTGTGTGTGTGTGTGTGCCTGTGAGTATGTGTGTGTGTGTCTGTGAGTGTGTGTCTGTGAGTATGTATATGTGTGTGTCTGTGAGTGTATGTGTGTGTCTGTGAGTGTGTGTGTGTGTGTGTGTGTGTACGTATATATATATATATATATATATACACACACACACACGCAGAACCGGCGCTATCTGAGTGCCGGCTCTGCTCTAAGCCTTCATGGGCTGGCGGGGAGAAAGATCTACCTCACCGGCCCACAGCAGCATGGAGGGAGGCAGTAGAGGACCCAGGCAGCTCTAGACAGAAGCTCCGCCAGGTTCCTCTGCGGCAATGCTCAGATCTCGCGAGAGTTAACTCTAGCCCCGCAGGCTAGAGTTCACTCTCCACTGGACCACCAGGGATGGCACATGGCAGCAAGGATTTACTAATCTGCCAAATCCCTCCAAACATACAGCACACACACATACAGCTCACACACACACAGTACACTAACCGCACCCTCACAAACACACACAGCACCTTTAAAAAAAACACAACACCCTCACACACAGCACACTAACAGCACCCTCACAAACAGCACCCTCACAGGACAAACATACACACACAAACACCCTCACACACAAACAGCACAGTCACAAACACGCACCCTCACACACAAACATCACACTAACAGCACACAGCACACTAACAGCACACACAGCAGTGTGTGTGTGTGTTTATATATATATATATATATATACATATACATACATACACACATGCGCGTGGCGTGTGTTTGTGCTTTAGGGTGCACACCCTAATGCAATAGGCTGCGCACGCCTATGGTGCAGTACAATGCAGTACACTGCAGCATATATTTTATATAACATATGCTAACTAGCTCATATTTTTTCCTAAACAGAGTTGAAATTATACTACCCTCCTAGAAAAAAGGGCAACAGGTGGTTATACATCCTTTGCTTCTTTAAATGCTCTGCAAAAATAAATAGTTATAAAATGATTAAAAATAATATATATGGAAGATAAATCAGGGCAAAATAAAATGGTAAATATATAGGATCTCTGATAACTTTTAAACTGAAATTATTAAAGGCTTATTTAAATAAAATGTAAAATACATTTACAACTTTAAATGTGACCAAAAGATACTAAATGATGTGTTAAACAGCCAGCTCAATTTACTAGAATAGCATAAGTATTCTACTATTTAAAGTGCACAATTCCTGCACATAATGACTTTGCTTACTTGGGTACAGTCTTTAGTCTATTGCAATAGCAGGATTAAAGTACACCAATTTTAAAAGGGAAAGCTTACTTAAATAAG